CACCGATGGGACATGGCCTGGAAAAAATCCCAAAGACTGGACAGTGCTGCCTAGAGGGCTGGATTTGGTCCCTTTGCCAGACGTTTGCTACCCTTTATCTAAGTGTCCATCCGTCCCCGCCAAGCCACATCCAACCTTTGTTTGCCTCTTTTGCTTCTTCTAAACGACTTCATTGGAAAACGCCTTGGGATACGGTGCAGTATATTTGATTAATTAGACTTGATGCCTTTGTTAATATCTATAATATATGCCTAATGCAAAGCCATTAAGGCTTTTCACTAAATCATTCAGTGCTCTGAACAGCAGGGAGAATCAGAGCATGTGAATGGGATAGGTTTCCATTTCTTTTCCTCCTTCCTCCCCTTTTCACACAAACATCCCTCGTTTGAGAGAATTAGCAGAACAAAATTGTCAAACATCCGTATGTTTGAAAGCCACATCTTTTATAGAGAATGGAACAAAAGATAGTGCTTCATAACTAAAACACAGATTTATAGCCCCGTGAGCAAGAAAGAGTATAGTGTAATAACATTATTGTACCATACAGTACCTGTCAGAAGCCATCATGACGCTAATACACTACTAAATCTCTTCTTTTCTTATTATGTGCTGGGGAACTCCTGCTTTGCAGGCAGTAGACCTTAAAAATTCTTTTACCACACAGTTTCTTCTGGTTTACTGGCCTCCCACTGCATCAGCCCTGCCAGAAGCAATGTCTCCTGTCATTTGCTGACAGAAAATACTGTTTCTGGAACAGCAGACTCAGCAGAGGGGGACAGTATTAGTGGACTAGCAGCAGAAATGGGAGCTGCAGTGAAAAGAGTTTTATAATTGCCAAGGACAGAAAGCTTTCCTCCCATTCAACTGCACCCTTCCTTCAACCAGCCCTCTCTTGCCTCCCTTTTTCTTTATGGTTTCCACTTTCAAGAACAGCAAAGACGTGGTGAAATCACAGCAGATGTGATGGAATTCAGCAGTCGATAAAACAGAAATGCAGGGGTTCAAATGTGCCTGAGAATGTGATCCTGTGCAAGTCTACTCAGAAGTGTGTCCAGAACATCAGCTGCAAAGGCAGCATGTTGTTGTCTTGGATCAGGGTTCAGGAGAGACCACCATTCAAATCCCCACCCAGCCGGAATCTCACTGGGGGACCTTGAGCCAATCACTGTTTCTCAGCCTAACCTACCTCATAGGGTGGTTGTGCAGAGAAACTTGGGAGGGGAAGAACCATGTATGTCACTCTGAGCTCCCTGGAGGGAAGGGGGAATATAAAGTTGTGTCCCCTAATCTGAAAATCTGCCTCATTTGCACATAAAGAGGCACATACAACAGTGCATTTAACTGTAAAACTGAATAAAAATATGGTTGTGGTGATATAAAATTATGCTGCAGAAATACATTACAGCATGGGGCTCAACTGTTATATATGTAGGAAGGGATGAATCTGTCAATTTAAATTTCTCTCACTTTCTCATTTTTCCAATTTCAAGTTCAATTCTCCACCTTTCCACATTTGCAATTTAAATTTTTAAAAAAACTTCATGGAAATTTTAGTGCTAATGTCTCCTAATATACACATTTTTCCATGCTGTTTTGACTATTATGCACATTATTGCCAAACAATTTCCCCTAATATCCCCTAATATCTTGCATTATATCTGCTAGTGTATGCATTTATACACACACACACCCCTTACCCGAGTATATGCATTTTTAATTTAATTTAATTTCTTACATTCATTTAATGATTTGACAATTTAAAAAAATCTTCTCATCATTTTCTGCAATAAAATATGACTTAATATAAAATGATTTGGTTAGCATCCTTCTGTCTCAGTGACAGTGGATGAGTTCAGTGTGGGTAAAGTCAAACAGTTGGAAGGTTATAGCACCTGCCTTCCAATTCCTAACATAAATTCACTATGTTGTTATTTTTCCACTTCAAAACACCCCCTCAAAACCTGAATTTGCTGTCATGGGAGCTAATTATTTTTTTGACAATATTGTATTCGAGGTAGCTAATTTGCTTGGGATTTATTTCTATATGAACTTTAAAAGCATAATCGGCTCACACGTGAATGTTCACTTGATACAGCTGGCAATCCAATACTAGCAAAGCTCAAATCAGGTCAGGACCACCAATTTCCATGTGCAAAACAAATTCCTCCTGCATCCCAGCTTGTGAGCTGAAAAGTGTGATAGAAAACGATTGGATGACTAAATAAATAAGGACAATATTGCATAATAATAAGATGGGACTGCTCAATGACAATCTCCCTTCAACAACAATTTGTGCTGATTATCAGCTTGTTACTTATACTCGTTACTTTCTGCGTCTCTCACAGTGACTGTAAATTTTTGCTTGTCATCTTGCATAAGCTCACCTGCTGTCCGCTCCCTCTGACGCCCCTTTTTCTGCCCTTTTCTCTCTCCCCCTTGGTATGTCCTTGGAAGAAGGGTCCTGTTGCAGAACATTTGAATGTTGGAAAGTTCAGGTAAAATACATTAAAACTGGGGGGGGGGGCTGTTAGCAGCTCTCACTTTTTCATGTCTAACAGCAATGGAATGAAATGGATAGGAGCAGGGTAGAATCCTTTTGGTGCCTTTTTAATCTACATAGAATCACAGAATTGTGGAATAGGAAAGGATTCCAAGAGCAATCCTGTATATTAGGTCTTGTAAAAATGCTTATATTATAATGCATTTTTTACTTATGCTGATGATTAAAATATATTGTAAGCCACTTAAGATATTTTGGTGGTAACAAGTGACTAGCAAGCTTTAACAACAGCAGCAACTATCATTTAATATGTACTATATATATATATATATATATATATATATATATATATATAAAATATATACTGGTTTTCCCAGTAGTGATGTATGGAAATGAGAGCTGGACCATAAAGAAGGCTGATCACTGAAGAATTGGTGCTTTTGAATTATGGTGCTGGAGGAGACTCTTGAGAGTCCCATGGACTGCAAGAAGATCAAACCTCTCCATTCTTAAGGAAATCAGCCCTGAGTGCTCACTGGAAGGACAGATCCTGAAGCTGAGGCTCCAATACTTTGGCCACCTCATGAGAAGAGAAGACTCCCTGGAAAAGACCCTGATGTTGGGAAAGATTGAGGGCACAAGGAGAAGGGGACAACAAAGGACAAGTTGGTTGGACAGTGTTCTCGAAACTACAAACATGAGTCTGACCAAACTGCGGGAGGCAGTGGAAGACAGGAGGGCCTGGCGTGCTCTGGTCCATGGGGTCACGAAGAGTTGGACATGACTAAATGACTAAACAACGTATATCTCTAATTTTTCCATTCATTGTCTGCTCATCTATTCTGGAAAAGGAAGCTGCTAGGCTTGACCCACTTCAAATGCAAGTGCCAAACGAGTGCAGGTGATGCCTCACCCTTTGAAGACCAGTTTTCATGGAACCTAGAATACTCCAGTGCAAATGAATGTTAAATTATAGAGCCGTAGCAGTAATTACAACAGTATGCTGCAGGTACAAAATCATCTATGCTGTACAGGTCAGTGGCAATGCCTCAATTAAAAATATGTCAAGTCATTTCTAATGGAAATAAGCCGACTGTTAAATATGCGAGAGAAATATATATTCCTAGCCTAGAAAAACTACCGGGAGATAAATGAATTATTAAATGCTTATAATCCAAACACACATGAATGACCAAAAGCTAGTCTTCCTACCATCAGTGCAAAACTCCTTTTAATTTTTGAAAGACCAAAGTACAGCCCTTACACGTTTCAACATGTAATGACTTAAATGAATGCAGCTGTGTTTTACATTCGCATAATCAGACATAGCTGGATATGTAATCATTGAAATGAATGCAGCTGGGCCTTTATTTCCCCCCTCCCCTTTTTCTTCTTCCTAGCAAAGTATCTATGTTAGGCTTTAAATAACCATGAATGCTGAATTCCAGGACAGTTACCCCAGCACAATGTCGCTATTCTGTGCTGCAGATGGCTCGGAGCCACGATAAAATGGCCTGGGATGCTGATGACAAACACCAAATTGCACATCAACCATGGACAACATGGAATGAGAATGACAGAGTGTTAGTGTTAGGACCAGGATGCAAACAGCTATTTGAAACATCACCTAACTTTATAACTCTGGGCATGATGAAGTCTCACATAGTAAACTAACCAGGAGCAAAGCAGAAGTAGAGGCTGGGAGGTCAAAAGCCAAAGCACTGGACCAAAATGAAGCGTTAAGCCAGGGGGCTGAGTTACAAGCACAATAAAATTTCAGCCTAGTGACAAATTGAAGAAATTACTAGTCCAGTTGGCCGAAGGCAAATGTGTTAGAAACACAAGACTAGAACAGGACTAGAATGCTTTTCCTGAAATATGAGCACCAAGACTGTGGTCAAACATAGGGTGAAATGAACACGAGTCGTAGGCGATAGTAACCTGAAAAGCACAACCTGAAAAGTCTTCAGTGGGGGGTGGATAAAATCCCCTAGGATGAAAGGTTACCACTTTTGGCGAGGGGGTTAGTTTAGAAGAAAAGGTAAGAGGATCAATGCAGAGGTGAATAAAACTATTTATGTGTGAAGAAAATTGAAAGGAGATGTATTTTTCCTCTCTCACTCATAATACTAGGTCTGGAATCACCTTACAAACCTAAGTTGTAGGAGATTCAGGGAAGACCATACATGAGTATTCACAAAGCACATAGTTAAACTCTGTGATTCGCTGCCGCAAGCTGTGGTAAGGGCACCCAATATAGCATCAAAATGGCATTCAACATATTTATGGGAGATAAGGCTATCAAAGACTACATGTCATGATGGCTGTACATCCAGAATGGGAGGTAGCAGGCCTCTAAATACTTGTTGCTGAGGGGCAACAGCAGGGCTAGGGCTATTGCATCCATGTCTTGCTTAGAAGCATAGAATTGGAGAGGTGGAAGGGACCCTGAGGTTCATCTAGTCCAGGGGTCAGCAACCTAAGGCCCAATGCAGGAATATGCAGGTGTCCTATATGGGGCTCAAACCCGAAACCTTGGCATCATCAGCACCATGCTCTAACCAACTGAGCTAGTCACCTTCCTGTAAGCAACAGGTTGCTAGACTAGATAGACCCCTTCCTATTATCCAGCAGGACTCTTCATATGTTCTTATAATGTTGCACAGTCAGAATCCCTGCTACATCTCAAAGTGAAAATGTACAGCCTCCCTATCCATGTTCCAGGAACACAGGGAGTTAGCAGTCCCTCCTGCCAACATCTGCGTGCTCAGCTGAAACACTGAACATAGCCTACACACACACACACACACACACACACACACACACTGTTTAAATAGTTGTCTGAGCATGAAGAGATTGGTAGCAGGGCCAGTGGGTCTGATCCTGTGCACATGAACTCCTACATGTTAAATGAAAGCAGAATCATCCTATGAATAGGGCTCACATTTGGAGGCTTGTGGGAAAAGCAAAATGCATGATAATATTCTGGTATTTTCCAAGATACTGCTGCCCCCGAGGTATGGCGGAGGACGACAACTATGAACTTACTGATAGGGTTAAGGTGTTTAAGATGTATAAATTTCTTTCTGTGTAAACTTTTACTAGTGCAGTAAAGTGTGTTTTCCTGTGTGCATTTTCTTCATGAGCACTATATAACCTGGATTCCCCCCTGCCACTTCTTCATTATTTCTAACTTGAGAAAGTGAGATTTGAAATGACTGTCATCTTCTGCATCTGCATAGTAATTTAAGGACGACTTTTACTAAACCTAGCATATATTTAGCAGCAAGGTGTTACAGAAACTGACAAATATCCAACCAATTTTTTCTCATTCCGATGTAAATTTCCTGCTACCAACTTATATTGATTTCATGCACTAAAAATAACTGTAGACATTCTGTGGACTAAAGATCTGTAGCCTAGTCCTATGTATGTACTGTATGCTAGCTCACAGATTCTATTTATTCCAGTTGAACTTACTCCCAGGTAAGTGTGCATAGGTTTAAAGTATTCAAGAAACAATATTTTGTTTATTCACCCATTTTTGTTACTCAACGTATTGTTCATTTCACATTACATTCTTTAAAATTACATACGCTTTGTGTTTTTGTTTCCCAACATCATTCATTTCATTATTGCAAACTCATGTTTGTTTCCCACTGCCTGCAACATTTTCATTTTTTACCTGATGGATGTGAAATGTTTGGACATGCTACTACCCTTGGGATCATAGCTGCTATATTCCAGATGGGTAAAAAGATCCTGTTTCATTGGAAATTAGGAAGGCATACAGACACACAGTTCAGCTATTCCATAAATCAATCATAAATGGAATTAATAGATACAAATAATCACAAAGAAATAGCAAAAGGTGAAATGCTGGGGGTAATGGACTTGAAATGTGTAATCCAACTGTAAATGTTTGGGAAGTTGTAATCAGCTGTGGGCAGCATGGGAGGGCTGCTTGACTCAGTAGATGTCCTTCCAACTGAGTCCCTGCAAGACACCAAAACAAAGAGGTAAAGGGGCAGCGGCAAGGTTGGTGTGGTGCCAACACACAGCTGGAGTTGCCTCTGTGCTGCTGCTGACTCATTTCCACTGCACGAAGCTCATCACTGCCATGCCTCTCCCTTTCTTTGTCTTGGTGTGATGCAGCAACTTAGCTGGATGGAGATCAGGTGAGTGCAGTAGCCCCACCCCGTCACCCACTGCTGGTTGCAACTGGGGTTTGCTCTGGAACTCCCCACCTATTGACATTAGGCAAGTGCCTTCACTGGACTGTTTTACATGGCAGCTGAAAGCCTTTCTTTTTCAGCAAACACATGCTTTAGTTACAGCCATCTTAAACATTTTATTAATTTTAGCTTTGTTTTGAATTGTGTTTTTATATGCATTTGTTTTTAAACATCCGGTAGATTTTAGTCATGTTTTACAAATAACTGATTTATATGTCATTGAAAAGTTTATACCGGTACATAATAAATAAATGTGGGGGTCCCCCCTCAAAGGAAATAACTAAGACCTGTGGGTGGAAGAAACAACGGGTCAGTTCTAACTGAGATAAAGCAAAGTAGGTGTTCGACACACTTTTTTAAAAATTCAGCGCAGATTCTGTTGCCATTAAAAAACGAATGACTGTGGGAAACTATCTTTCTTGTATAATAACAGCAGAGGGTATTATCATTGAAAATAATGACCTATCTACATTTTTCTTGATGGAATCATAATAAATTGCACACATGGCAAAAAAAGAGACAAGAATTCCGGTTGACCAGTTCTTTGCAGAACTTTGAAAGACACTAATGAAAATAAGATATAGAGTTACTGACATAGGTATCTCTTTTTTCATTTTTTCCCCTGCAAAGTATTGCAAAGTTTTTCACCTATGTTCTTAAAAGCTTTAGAAGCTAAAAAAGCTTTAACTCTATTTATTCATTTCAACATATTCTGTGCCACCTTTCAAAATATAATTTTATTCTATGGCAGGATGCAATCAGTATAAAATTATAAAAATGCTTCAACATTTTAAGAATAATATAAAAAACAGAACAACATTACATCTCAGATCAGTTCTAAATACTGTTGAAGCAGCAGTTGTAGATGGTATGGAGGATGGGTGCTGCACACCTGACCCCCTTCCAGCTGCATCACTGCTGCAAATTGGGACAGAGAGGAGCAGCAGCAAGCTTGATGTGATGCAAACACACTGATGGAACCAATCCAGCATTCCTGCCACTGCATTTGCACCACGCCTGCCTTGTTACTGCCTCCTCCTCTCCCCCTTGTTTTGCAGTAGCAATGCAGCCAGAAGGAAGACAGGGGAGCATTTCAGCCCCACCACACCGTCTGCTACTGCAAAGCAGTAATAATTTAATTTTACACATTTTAACAAAAGATGGGTTTACGTAAAAGCTTCAGGGTCCACTTAAAAGAAAGCTGGGAGGCGATCGAGCATACTTCTTTTGGGAGGTAGTTCCACATGTATGGGGCCACCACTAAGTATGTCCAATCTGCCAAGTTCATGATTCTATCTGCTGCTACGACTTTTGATGTTAACACCCAGGAAGGCTCATATGTATGGTAATCTGCTCCCAAGCTGCATAGGGCTTTCAAGGTCAACACCATCACTTTATATTATAGCTATAGGGACTGAATTACGGGGTTGTCATGTCAACAAGCCCTTCGTCATGCCCTAGAAAAGATATCTGTTTAAGCCATGAACACAGGGTGATGACAGATAATTCTTAGCATTCAGTACAGTGCTAGTACAAAGATTTCCGGCTCTTGTGACTAACCTTTGTGTTCCCTGCTTGGTGAGTTTTCTTTTTCCAGTCAAATGGTGGTAAAGGGTTGCTAAAGCACTGCGTATGTGTCAGCATTCGGAACAATATTTGTAAATATGGTGTAGCTTATTTTATATTTCTAGTTGGCCAAAATGATGCCTGCTGATTCTTTTATTGGACAAAGTTCTGCTGTTAAGAGATACACACCTGCTATTTGAAAGGCACTTCAAAGAAGTTGTTTTGCAAGGTTATCCTAGAACCCTATGCAGCCCATATGAGTCCTGTCCTGCTATCACAGTGAAGTCCCTCAGCCCCCAACATCCATGCATTTGATCATCATTTATGTTCCTAAAGGGAAAAATGAAGTGTACAGCTCATTTCCGTGGGGTCTAAACATGTTGGTCTCCATGCACTTAAATCTCACTCCTGGGAAAATATGCCCCATTGCCACATGGGCATCAGGAGCAGGATGGGCTATGCTTGATGGCAACAGGGCAGACAAATAGGATGGAAAGATCTCAGGCGGGCAAGCAAGCTCCAATAAGAATTAATGAGCCGCTGGCAGGTTTATTTACAATTAACACAGAGAGAGCAGCACCGAGCGAACTGCTCTTGCTTACTGCTCTGCCCTTTCCATAACACAAAGAGTGCCAAAGTCCAGTCCTTCCTCTCTTGTCTTTCTGTTGCATTTTAACCCTTTCAGCTCTCTTGGTTCGAGGAGAAGGTGGATGGACTCCCCCCACCCACTCTCAAAAGAAGAGTCCTCTAATTGCTGCCTCCCTCCTGGTTACATAGCAACCCCCTCAAGGTCGTCTATTCATTCCCCCCTCGACTGCGAGCTTTCTGAGTTTGGTGCTCTATCTGCATCTGGAAACTCTGGAGGAAGGGTGGCCAAACTAACCTACCCTTGACATATCTGTGACTGCATTCCCTCATCTCCAGAGTCAGACTCTTCCCAAACATCCGGGTCAGCTGCGTCCCTGACATAGGAACTCAATGTGTGAGTGATATATAGTCTCTAATATCCACAATGTGAGTTTTAGAATGTGAAGAAACCTTTGAAAAAAACAGATACTCTCATCAATAAAATGAAAGCTGACAGTGCCTAAAATAGGTGCTACCCAGGCTTCGGGGCAGTTCTTTATTCACCAGGGAGCAGCCATGCATATTCAGGAGTGGCTCACTGGTACTAGGCATTTAAAACAAGTTCAGATATCAACATAGGGCATGGCATCATGGAAAAGGATTTGTGTGCTTGTTATATTTTGTGAGAGATTTCTTTCCCTTGGTGCATCATATTAATATGCAACATACAGTAGTAATCCAAGGCCCCTCACATAAATTGTTCAGACTGTGGCAGGAATCCACCCAGAACTCATGGGAAAATGTGGCATGATCTACTGGTCAATAGCGGGGTGTTCCTGGTTGATCCTGGTCAATCTATGGACCCTCAGCAATAAACAAACAAACAAACAAACAAACAAACAAACAACAATAATGGGATAGTAGAAATAGTCCATGGGAATGGCTTAGGAAAATAAAACAACAACAAACACTTGAACCAATACAATTATCTGAACCAGTGAAGTATTCAGAAAATGGTAGATTCTTTTATTTTGTGTTCCGCAAACTAGTACTGTCATTTTTGCAAACCATGAACTTCCATTGCTACCTTTCAATGAGCTTGTCATTTTATTTTATTTTATTTTATTGTCCACTGTGGAAGTCCTGGTGTCCCAGGGAATGGAAAATCTACCTGCACTATAGGCAATGTGAAATGCTTGACGATGATCCCTACA